ACTTAGTCAGGCCGCCAGAGGTAAAGAGAGACACATAGACACAGAATGAGAGAGACATAGAGAGGGAAGGATGCTGAAAATAGATCAAATGTCAGATGCTAAAAATAATGTGTGTTTATTAGGGGTCAGCGTCTCATGAATGATTCCTTCTGTGTAAGTGTTTGTTTATAATAATAACTCATTCTTCTTCAGTGGGTGTGTGTGAATATTTGAGTGTTTATTTAGCCCTGTGTTACAGAGGGGTAATGATTCTTCTGTCCCTCGCGCTATCTCTCCACGTGTGTGAGTGTGTGTGTGGTTACAGCGGTAGTAGAGGGTTAGGCGCTGATATAATTGTAAGCTGGTATTGATTGGCCCCCTCTTGTTATTGATGAGGGAGAATTTAATTCAACCAAGTCGTTTGTCAACATGACACCGCCATTTAACAATGAACTCCCTCTCACACACACACACACACACACACACACACACACACACACACACACACACACACACACACACACACACACACACACACACACACACACACACACACACACACACACACACACACACACACACACACAGCCGGTTAAAGAGCAATGAGATCTAATTCTGCAATAGACTTCCTGTACTGAAAAAGATGCCTTCACTTACTGTAGGTAAATATGGGTTTTCTTTTTAGCAAAAGTAGTAAATACCTACAGTATACAAGAATCACATTTAATATGTGATACTAATATACTTAGAAATATGTTACTTATTCTGACAGACTTCATCTTTTTGTATATCATTTTGAAGGATATCGTTGGAAACAGAGTTGTATGTCTCTTTATTTATCATAATGTCAGTACCAGTTGACTAATTTCATCCAAAATATCAAATAAATGTCATTTTTAACAATTTTTTTCCAGTGCTAAATAGACAAACAACAGCTTTAGTGTGAAATATAAGAGTTAAATGATTGTTATGGCTCATACTGCTGTCATACTGCTGTCTGTTCATGTTTGTGATTTGATTTATTTGTGTGTGTTATGATCAGAAGTCCACTCTGGCCTATAATCTCACAATGTCAGACAAAGCAGCCGCAGCAGGTTGGATAGTAAAAGGATAGATATAACAGAAGGGTAAAAGAACATATTGCTATTGATGAGGCCCTCCGTGCGCCATATTTTTCACCTCTCCTTCAAATCCACGCACACCTCCCTCCCCTTTTCCCGCGATGGACGCACAAAACGCACTATATTCTACAAGAAATAATTGCTTTTGTCTGGAAGGAGTTTGGATCGGGGCTCCTCTGCGCTCGCCCCTTAGTGGAGAGGGGGGCTCTTGAGGGACAACCGGTCGTTTCTTTATACGTCTTCTCCTCGTCCTGCTCCTTTTATTTTTTCCTCCCCTCTCTCGCTCGTTGCACACGCGGATGTCATCTGTCAATGGGGAGTAGGCCTCTTTTTTATGGGGGGGGGACTCCTTTGTGATGTGACGTGTGTCTATGCATACATGACATCAAAGGATGCAGCGGGTAACGGAAACACTCTGAAACGTTGGATACAGGCTTTAGAAGGACAAGTGCTGTAGTAGTGAAGGGCCAAGCAGTAATCACAGTATTAGTAAAAATACAGGGAAATGACATCACTAGCAGCACTAGTAATGTAATGAGTAGAAGCAGTAGTAATAGAACCATTTATACAAGTGGCTGTAGTATTACTAACAGAGTATTAGTAGTAGTAGTTGGAGTAGAAGCCGAACAATACTAACAGTAGTATTATAGAACCAGTAGTAATAGAAACAATGTATACAAGTGGATGTATTATAACACAGTATTAGTTGGAGTAAAGGTCGAAGAAGCAGTAGAAGTCTTAGTACAAACGCAGGAAATAACACCATTAGTAGCACTAACGGTGTTAATACAAGAACTCAAATTCAAATAGCTTTATTGTCATGACCATATTGACAAACAGTATTGCCAAAGCTTTGAACAATTACAACATCTATACATACATTTGGAATGTATTCATACATTTTGAACAGAATCATAATCACATGTTTCCTTACAAGAAAAAACAAACAACAGTTTAAACATAAAAAAGCAAAGAACAATTAGAAACAACTGAAAAGTGACAGTAGTGTTAGTCGAAGTAGAGGTCGCAGAAGCAGTAGTACTACAATAACCAAAAAGTACTTATGCAAACTCATAAAAGTGGCAATAGTAATGGCAGTAGAGGAGTTTTCGTCGTGGTTTCACCAGCTGTACGATTTCGTTGTACAACAGTACTAAAAGAAGTAATAGTAGGAATGGAGAGGTTTATTGTTCCCTAAAAGTGGTGGTAAGAAACGAGTGGCACTAGTAGTTGCATAGTAATGCAGGATACCAGTGGCTATTGCAGTCTAAATAGCAGTGGTAGTAGCAGTAACATCTGTTTTGAAGCAACATTAGTCATGATAGAAGTGTTTTGTCTAGTACTGTAGTACCATAGGCTGTAGTACAGTAGTATTTTGAAGCATCAGTGTTCGCAGTCAAGTATGAAGACTTTAGTATAAGTCTGTAGATCAGGAAGCTTCTGATAATGTTTTATCCGCATAGCATTTTCTATCTGACGTTTCCTTTCTCCTTACTGCATTAACATTGGGGAGCCCGAGGCCTTTCCATATATGAGGGCCATACTGTAATTGATCGATAACTTATTAACAGCTCAGTCCCACCTCTGAGTGTATACAGAGAGGGAGTGAGAGTGAGACATGTGTGTGGGTTTGGTCGATTTTCTTTTATTGACTACGATATTTAGCGTATAGATTTTCCTATTTAAAAAAATCCATGTTGGCGATAATCTGGGGTGTAAATGCGCGGTGCAGATTGGGGCGGTGCATCATCTCACGGACTGTGGTGAGGAGAGGTGATGGCCGGGAGGCACCTTCCCTCTCTCTCTCTCTCTCTCTCTCTCACACACACACACACACACACACACACACACACACACACACACACACACACACACACACACACACACACACACACACACACACACACACACACACACACACCACAACAACACACCACCGACCCTTACTAGGAAAAACAGTCAATTTAGATTCAGCTCAACTGACATTTTACGCACATTTTACGCGCACACGTACATAGCCTTGAAATAATTACTAATTTAACACCCGTGGCTCTGCAGGCTTTGATAATTCACCTCTGTGAGGGGAAAATAAATACATTAGTTGAGTGCTGCTGGTGAGTGGTGACCTTGCGTTAGCCAGACCCACGTAAATCTATATGAAAGAGGTAGGGGGAGAGAGGGGAGAGAGATCCACCTGCTGAAATATACATACAAGACCCCCCCCCCCCCCTTTGAATTCATGTCCGCGCATTGTGAAGAGCCGATCGATATGTCGGAGGCAGGCGATGATGTGATTATTGGCTTCATTATAATGAAGTAATCAGAGGATCAATTGGCCGGATCTGTGCTTGCCTTGTACGGGATTACCGCGGTCAGGAACAGGGCAAGAAGTGTGTGTGTGTGTGAGTGTATTTCCAAAAAAATTAACGGAATATAATTTTAAAATGTGTCTTCAATATATAGGCCTAGCTCCAACTTCAATGCAGATCATAAAGTGTCAATACATGAAAATGGATGGAGAAAGTGGGGTCGTAGCGTGTTTATGAGTGTTGGGGCGAAGAGGGAGAAAAGGGGGGTAGAGAGGGGAGGGAAAGGAAAGGGGGTAAAAAAAAAGGGGGCTGGGTATCTCCGTCTGTCTCCCGGACGGAGCGCTTTGCCGTGCCAGAGAGCATTCAGTCTGCGCGGTGAAGGACCGAAACCACCGGGGTTCCCAGAATAAACTGAGGGGACGCAGAGACGCGCACACACACACGTTGGATAACACACAGAGGAGAGAGGCTGAAGAGAGAAAGAGACACACACCGGCGGATGGCGGAGCAGAGCCAAAGAAAAGACACTACAGCGTAAAAAAAGAAAAAAAAGAAAGAGAGACATCGCTTCCCCCTCCTCTTTTTTTCGTGCTTCAGTGGAGGAGGAAAGGAGAAGACAGGTGTACTTATTGATATGGATTTATTCATGTATTTATCTATTGATTTTGCTTTAATTAGTGACCCGCGGTAGAGAAAGAGGGAGAAGCAGCGACGGGAGGAGAGGGAGGAGCGAAAGTCAGACAGGAGGTGCCTGCGTAGCCTTACTTTATTATTTGATTATTCCTCATCTTTTTACCAAATAATGCATTTTATTATTGTGTCGCTTTGAGTGCATGTGTCCTTCAGCAGACCAGCAAGCTACTAACCAAATCTTTACGAGAACCAAAAAGGAGAAGCAGTGTTTCACGGACAGTTTTCACCCGTTTGGACAGACTTTTCAGCAGGAGGAGAAATCTTTATTTTTCCGAAACCTAAACCAAAGCAAACCCTGCCGAGAGACAAACACAGAGACGATCTTTACGCACAGTCTGGACACAATACATGGAGTGTAATCGTGTCCGTGGAGAGCAGCTAGACTCACGATGGTAACACAGATCATCCTCTGTCCAGCCACCTGTGTTAGCCTGTATGGATAACCACTGATAGCTTTACACCTTCTCCCAAAGCCGCCGCTGCGCGTCCTGCACATCGCTCTTTGTACACGCGTGTGTGTGTGTGTGTGTGTGTGTGTGTGTTTCTCAGACTCCCGAGAAGTAAGTGGAACAATATCCGTCTGCATCCCAAAGCCAACCAAGAGAAATGGGAAACCGCTGACGGAAGAAAAAGCCAAGTTTTTTTCAAAGCATCCACGTTTCTTTTACAACCCAGCGGTCCGTAAACCTGGAAAGCATACGAATAAAAGGCCAAAGCACGACGGAAGCACGACGGATGAGAAAAGTGAGACTAAAATAAAAAACTAAAAAACAACGACCCCCAGGTCGACAGAGGACCATGTTTGTCCCCCTGCCGGTCCCCTTCGTCTTTCAGAGAACAGCGTCCGACTTCAGCGCCTGGAGACTCAAGTCCTCGCTGGCTCCGCGGTCCAGCCCCGGTAAGACTGCTTTTACCGTGCACCTACTCAAAGAATAAAACCCGGTTATGGTGTTTATTTTCATTTCCTCTCATGTATAAACCCATACATTAAATTATATACAGAACATTTTGTATACTTTCTTATTTCAGTTTAAAATGTAACGGTCCAGAAAACTTGGATGCACATGACTTAAATAAATTACGTGGGTTAAATTGTAATCCTTTCTATGTTTACTTAATATGACACAGTATACATATCAAAACAAGCATCTTTCCAATGTATAAAAGTTATTTTATATGCAAGATATGCAGAAATTCATGTGTGACACAGTTTTTCTAGAGAAATGTCTTTAATAACATTTATATTGCTTTATTAGTATAAAATTCAACTTGTCATATAAATTACAAATGCTTTTCTCGTTGATTTCCATGTTTTGCTTCGCTATATACAGCAATCTACTTTAAATTATCAGAAGAAGAAGAATTGGAAGGCTTAGTATCTCTACCGAAGTGGCTTTTTTTCCCATTACCATCTTTTTACTCTATCTCCGCTAATATAATTAATTTATCACGAACAAGGCAAGAGAATTTAATTAAAATACTTACTCGTGCATAAATCCAAAAGTGTAAAACACTCCCAAAATTGGATGCATGCATATCTGGCTCATTAGCATCCATCACAGTGTCACAGAGGCACCACACTCTCTCCTCCTCATCTTTTCCCTCCTTTCATTCATGGCAAATCCATCCATCTCAAAACTCCATCTGCCTCCTCTCTTCACTCCTCTCCTCTCCTTCACTCTTTCTCGCTCAGGTTAGCCTGGAATATTCATGGTCATCTATATCGATCAGAGGGTATTGATCTCTGTGGCCACTTTGGGAAAACAAGAGTTCAGTCAAGTTGAGAGAGAAACTTAGGATGACGTGAGGAAAAAATCACATAAGGACCTATTCCAAATGACTACAATTCAGAAAACAGTGTCCCTTAATACATCTTTTATGACTTATTTGTATTCATAGTCAAACTAATTATACTTTAATTGGCCTATCACTACAGGGTGAGTTTGTCAATCAATAGTTACTTACAATAACGACCTTATCATGCCTTTATGCTGCGCTTTAATACCCGATGATCGCTCTAATATTGCTTGAGTGACTATCAGTGTGATCAATAACGGAAGTGCTCCTTATGGTATTTTTCTCATCTCACTATAATGTACCTTTAATATCTCTTAAGGGCTTTATCGGTTATGCTTGGTTTGGTGTATTATTCCAAAATCCATATTCCTACAGTAAAAGGGTTATAAAGAAAAAAGGAAATTACACTAAGATAATATTCTGTCAATTCATTTGTGTTGAATGGCAAGCTTTGGTTTTCTTTCCACCTGTGGCAGTTTTAAAACTCAGTATGTGTGACTTGCTGGTCATTGTTTCAACAACATATGTGTTCATGTTTGAGGGTGACAGTGCCACTGGCTCCCCTTGTCCCCCATCCCCACTGCTTTAATCCAGTCAGGCGGACATTTCAAATGACAGATGTGGGGGGTGGTGTATGTGCATGTTGAGCATTGCTGGGGTAATTCAGCCTATCACCTTAAGTAGGTGTCAGGAGGAGAAAAACGGTGGAGGTTTTTAATGAGAGCCGCTCCTGCTCCCGCCTTTGACATACAACCACTTGCTTCTGTTTTGGGAAGGGGAGGGGGGACGGGGTAAATTTCTATGTTGGTCCTTTAAGAAATTAAAGTGATGAGAGGACAAGGTGGAGGCTGGGTCAGAATGAATGATTGGATGAATAACAGAATGAGCGAGTGCATAAATGAATAATGAATGAAAGAGACGGTGAACGTTTCAGTTAGAGAATGAACAGGTGAAGGAATCAGTGAATTGAATTGAAAGAAACAGTGAGTAAGAGGGAGAGTGAAAGAATTATTAAACACAGTGATTGAACAGATGAAACGCTATCGATCCACTGGAATAATCAGTCATTTAATGAACAGTGTGAAATAATGAATAATGACCGAATGTGTGCTGGAATAAATAAATGATTTAGCAAATGAGAAATGAATGTGTGAGTGAGTGAGCTAGCAAGTCTTCCTCTCTCATGTGGAAGTGCCTCTAAGGGATGTTTTTTTATTCAAACATGTTTGTGTGATAAGCAGCCAATACACACAAGAGAAATAAACTTCGTAGGAGAGCAAAGGCCAACACTCATCCTTCATTTCCCCGTCTGAATATCCTTCTCTTTTCTCCGTGTTTCATCTTTGATCTCTAGAGAGAAGGAAACTCTGAATCTTCTGTTTCTCTTTCAATTTCTCTCATTTCTGTAGAGTGTTCACTTGACACGAAAGCCTCTCAGTAAAATGCAAACTCTCCTCTCTTTCTCTCTCCCCTCTTTCCGTTGTTCCCTATGGACAGAGAGCTTGTTGAATTGGATTTGCCTGGTGTGGTTTGCCCGGGCCCCATAAGCCACTTTAGCTAAGTCTGTTACCCACAATTCTCTGTGTCTCTCTGATCCGCGCCTTTGACCAAAGGTGTGCATGTGTGCATCGGTACGATTGCCTGCACCTGTGTCTGGGTGCGTTAGTGTGAGCAAAGACGACGGGTGTCAAAAGTGTAAGACGAGGTGAGTGAGGTTCAGTGGAGGAAAGGGGGAGAGAGAGGTCCTAAACAGCAGACGCTAGCAGACAGTGGTTCTACAGTGGATCTAAAGTGAGGGCTTATGGGTATTTTTGTCAGCTCGACTCTTTAACACTACAGCGTTGAGACTACTGGCCTCAGCTCAGCCCGGCCTTAGACACATTGCCTCAGTAAAACGCTTTTAAAACAGCCACCAGATGGAAACTGTTATCGCAGAGGGAAAGTTTTATTTCTTCATTTACTTGCACAGTATTATTTCTTTGTACTAATCTCAGAATGTTTTCTTCAGTACCACTGAACAGTCACTTTATTTCCTGCTAAAACCAATTCAATCTTCACTAGTCTGATTTTTAGTATTTAAAGGTAATTAAGATTAAGCTGCACCTCTCCAACTACCAGTCCACACTCTGTATTTTTGGTCCGAACTGGACTTGAACCGACGACCCTTCAGTTCCAAAGCCAAATGCCTATAGACTACTGCTACCCCCAAACGTTATGTGACTCTCTATAGTGTTTCCCATACATTGATTCATTTGTGGCAAATAGAATCAAATTATGTTGGAAACACTGTGCTAAATTATGTTTTGGGAGGTCCCTATAATACAGAAAATATCATTAATGTGTATGCAAATGAAAGATTTTAAGGATATTGAATCTCTGCAATTAATGGATTACAAAGATATACTAATTGATCAAATATCAACACATTCACCTTTTTATTAAACCAGCAGACAGTGCTCCTATATGGCTACAAACATTATTAGTTATTAAGTATACAGAAAAAAGCATCAGGTTTACAAATATCATACCTAGCAAATCCAAAGTCATTGAGCACATTTGCTTGAAATTAATTCAACTAAGAAGGCTCTGCATAATCCTTCTTGAGGTTTTAATTTCTCACTATTGAAGAGTAAGTATAAGCAGTATACTGAATTTGGGTAAACAGCATTAGAGAGATAAGAGATGTGGTAAAGCAGCTGGAAGAAAAACGATCACATCCTTTGTCAAAAGCACAGCTACTCAATGAGTTCTCTCTCGTTTGCTGCTCATTAATACTCTGATGCTCCTCAGTTCATTCTGAGTGTCAGATCTTTGCCACAAAGAATCTAAAAGCTTGTCTTTTGGGCCGCTCAGAGATCTGACCAGACCTGTACAGGGACCTGTAGCTGCCGCTGCTCACTCCCTCTCTGCACCACAACAAAGGAAATCTAAATGCTCTTTTATTTTATGTACACTGCTGTAAAATCCTCCAGGGCCACTGTGGCCCATATAAAACTGAGAGCTGTCAAATTCACAGAGAAGGCATGTGTCCGGATTGAGAGGGATGGTTTATTTATGTTGGCTACTCTGAGAGGCCCTCTCGGTCTTGAAGTTATTCAGCACAGGGTCGATTTATTTTATTTTATGTTCTACTTGCTGTTTCTCTAGTAAGTTTACATTTTAGTAACTTAGTGATATAAATATCATGATACACCGTAATCAAAAAGATTTAAGAATATCATCTATGTGGTTATAAAAACAAAACAAAGTCTGTGATTGTAAATGACCGCACCTTGTAGAACATACTGAAACAATAAGGCAATACGGCAGTTGTGCTATTTTATTCTATTGTCTAATAACCATGCAGAGGAACTTTTCAGAGCACAAACCGCCTGCCCACACACACTCACACACGCAGACACAACAAGCTCCGTGCTGCTCGATAACTACCTCTTCCTCCACCCAGGTTCTTCACCTTGCCGTGCCCAGTAGGGGGTTGTGTTGTCTGGGCCACGCCAAACTGTGCCTGAGCCAAGCCAATGTCCGGATTAATTGGCTGTGTATGTGTGTGTACTTGAGTGTGTATCTGCAATTTATATGTGTATGTGCAAGCATGGCTGACACTTTGTTCAGGCTTTATTCTTGATACGTCTGTGCATGTGTAGATATATACAGTATCAGCAGGTGTCGGAAAGAGGTGTGTATAACAGGAAGTAGGACTAAGTCTTTGCACAGTTCTTATGTCTGCAGCTGTCTGCACATGTTTAGGGTTTAGAGGCAGAAAATCCATGCATTTATGCTTATTTGTCAAAGTGTGTGTGTACAAAGCAGGTAGAGGATTCAATAATTGCACGTTGAGGTCAGTTATGGATCTGTCCGCCTTGTGTGGTTTATCTGGAAACCACAAGCTCACAGCCGCCCATTGTGTGAGTGATTTTAACCTTCCACCGCCATTGATTGGCCAGCATTGACTACTCTTCCCATCACCCCATTTGTGTACATGTGTGTTTTGACTGTTTATGTGTGCACGTGAATTTGTGGTTAACTTGTGTGTGTGTGTGTGTGTGTGTGTGTGTGTGTGTGTGTGTGTGTGTGTGTGTGTGTGTGTGTGTGTGTGTGTGT